TTCCGCTAAGACTAATAAATAAAGAGTCGACATGTAATGGGCATATCTTAACTTAGGATCAGTTCAACAATTTTGTAATAAAAGTAATACGTGGTAAATATAACAACTAAATGTTATCAACATGGATAGTGAAATGATGGGAGTAGAGACACTGATATTACGAATCTTTTGGCACGGGTAGAGGGAGTTTCAAAGTTATTATACGCAATAGTGTACGCCCCAAAAGAAGAAAATGTTTTGATTAGAATTGTTCTCCATGGATTTGGCTAAATGCGATCACGCCGAGAAAATGAGCAGTAGCTTTTGTTGCCGGGCATTAAGTTACAATGAATCGAATGCAGACGAAAATATGCAAATGAAAGCGTCATCAATCGTCACTCGCATTAGACAATTGCACGCACCAAGAGCAAACAATGGCATCTCTTAGAGAATTGGCGTCACGTGGTATCATTCAGAGACACAAAAAACGAATTTCTGCGAAGTCTCTACCCTCTAGATACAGCCTACTTAGGTAATTATGAAATGCTAAAGATGCATAGCTGGAATCAGTCTTCTTCAGTAAAAGTTACATATTATGAGTTAAAAATGATAAATTATAAGCAACTATGAAAAGTGAATGTTAATAGAAAGTTTGAATCGGCTTTGATACTTTTAGGAAGATCCTGCGTGAAAGTCATCTTCAAAGATGTCACTCTAGAAACGTCTAGAAATTTCTACTGCAGTACTCGCGATAAGAAGTGTTTTTATGAACAGATTAGTGTCAAAATCTACAGCTATCCGCCTTATTCACATATTCGCAGTTCAGTCGATTATGATGTTGGTGAGTTGATCATCTTATGTTGGGAGTGCTTTCATAAAATATGTCCACCAGGCAACTTTTCCAACTTATATAACATCCATCTTGGTGAAATCAATATCAACTGTATACCATTGGCAAATCCGTTGCATGCGTTAAAACCGGCTCGCTTTGGCAATTTTTGCTGCTATCTTTGCTGCGATTTTTGCCGTCATTTGGTCCTAGAGAACAACGTTAAAGAATTAACTCGTAAAGATTTATTCAGTACACCGAGATGAACTAGCTAAACATCTCTTCACAAGGATAAGACAAAATTTATATTATATTTTTGAAAAACGCTCGAAAAATCGCAGCAAAAATCTCCAGTGTGACCTCAACAGTTTTACGTACATTTCCAATGGTGCAACTCAGATAAACAGAAATACATTCACAGTCATTGGGACACGGACTAAAAAATAGGAATTCTTTACATTTCATTGTGTTGCATAATAACTTTCAAAATTTCATTTGTCAAGCTTTCGTGACTCGCCGAGCAATCATCAGGACTGACTAGATATTGCGCAACCACTAACCCCTCCCCCCCCCCCCCCCCCCCCCCATTCTGACCCTGTTAAAATGCATGTTATTCTAATTTCGTTAAAAAAACTGACTTCATTGCTCTTTTTGACAATTAGATAAACAAATGAAAGGTTGAAGTATCTTACCACATTATGAATTGCCCCCCCCCCCCCCCCCCCAAAAAAAGGACTACTGCTATTTTGCATTGAGAAAAAGCGTTACGTGACGACAGGAGAAGCGAACACGTCGATCTAAAGAAGATTCAACTTGCAGGTAAACCTCATGTGATTTGTACTAATACGTCCATGATGAGCATGCACTAATAAGTTACAAACATCAAGGTAGTATAGATCCAGTGGATCTATCTATATAAGGTTTATTGATTTGTTAACTAGAGCAATCTGAATGTCTTTCGCGTTTCATGAGGACCTGAAGTACACTCGTATATTCACACATTGATCGTTTTTGTCTTGGATTATTCAAACGAAAATGAAATCTTCTTTATCAAGAAACCTGCTAAAATTACTTTCAGCATAACCTGACTGAGGTCCAATACCGGGAAAGGTTTTCAAGGTAGTAAATAAAAAAAGTCAAAAAAATCGTTCGCATTTTTCAGATTTATATTCAGATTTATCTTCTCAAAAATATGTTTCCACAGGTTAATATTTCAAATGAAAAAGTGTTGAGAAGAATGAATCCAACCGCCGTTGTTGTTTTGTATACATATGTTTCTCTCTTTCGATAACCACATGGCTTTTTTGTTTGTTTGTTTCAAAGTCGCTCCTCTCGTCAATTCCGAACTGACCAATCTTCCGGTTTGAATTTCATGAAAACTGAAATCGACTATGCTATAGGATTGCTTAGTGAATCAAGCCAAAATGAAGCTCTATACGCACTATACGTTGTTCATAGTTCAATACTAATGTCGATCAAATGTCATGAAGGACTTAAAATATAAATGCGTTTGTTGTCTTTGTTGATTTTTGTCTTTAATCGCTCCATTTATGTATTTTATTTTGATAACAACTTATGGTCTATCATTATCACATTTTCATATATTTTCGTGATAGGATAGATTTTTTCCTAATGCTCAGTGATGAGGAACGCGGGGCTACGTTTGCATATTCCAGAATGTCAATCAATACACTAGAGGTCAAACATAAAATGGAACTGAATAATTACAAACGAAAATCTTTAAACAGTTATTCGCATTGTTCTTCTCACGACCATTTGCAAACAAACCTACACTACACGGAACTCAAACGAATACGAGGGGACTATATCAACGGCCGAAGCTTCAGATTGTTCGAGAAAACAAAAACAAAGAATTCAAGGGTCCGATAATACTAATAATTCATAATTATAGTACATAAAAAGAATTTTAGATTTCTAACGTAAATTGCTATCTATATAGGTTGTATTTAAATTTAAAACACTACAGAAAAGAATGAGTCTGGTTTGGTGGAACATGGGCACATAAAATGCTTGTTTTTTATTGCTTGAACCTTTGATCTCTGACTTTTCCAACAGCATTGTAGGTACATTAGGAAGAGCTTTTCTCACTATGTGAACTGTTCAATCCATAAAATCGGGAACGGGAACCATCATGAGAACACATTTGATAGTATTGTATACTTTTTGCTGTTCCTTAACCGCGACGGAATATTATTATAACGAACAGGCATGCAATAACGCCGGGAATAACGCAATAACGTGAACGAGGTCTCAAGGGATCGAAGGAGGTCTCGTTTTTGACAGTTGACGGCTTAAAAAGAGCGTTTTGGTTTGTTGCGTGCCAAGATGATCGAGCGCGACGAAAAACGAGAAATATCGAACCTAAACTTGAACAGAAATAATGTTGCACGCCAAGTTGATGGTTTTTGCATCTTGTATTTTGCCGCCTTTTAAAAGAGCGCACAAAACAAATGAAACCAGCCTGATCATGCAAATTATCAGCGGTATTGCACAAATATCCCGATGTATTTAATACTGAATACGTGCTTCGTTTCAATATTGCTCTATAGCGACTTCGTCCACGCTATTCTCTAATGACAATGCTCGTTGGCTTGACAATGAATGTGATTTCTTTGCGGTTAATGAACAGCAAAGCATTTTCTTTATCGCCTCCGTAATGCCCATAGTTTCCTTCAAGGTTCCCTATGACATCTAGAAGGTAGCCGTACCTTTGTTGCATAGAAGCAGGACGACTGACCGTGCAACGATAGAACTTTGTATATAGTTTGTCAGTAGGCGTGAAAGAAAGCTTCTATCTTTGCTCGCTCAACCTCATCTCGCTTCACTGTAATAGCCCGGGGGGACTCCCTTTAAGCGTTGGTAGGTATGCTCGACGGACCTTTTAGGGTCGAAAATAGAAACCTCGCGCACCTTTTAGGGTCCTGAGCTGACTCCGTAACTTTTAGGGCCAATTTTCGAAAATTGAAAACAAAAATTTAAGAAGTGTTATAAAGAAATAGATTTTATTAACCATAAACAACCACTTGACATTGATTTTCTAAAGTTTGTTAAACTTGAGCTTTTCTCGTGTTAAAGACGTCCCAAATGGTCGTACCTTTTAGGGTCTGGAATCAATACCTGAATTAATTTATGCGTACCTTTTAGGGTCATTTTTCAATCCGTCTGTCGAGCATACCTACCAACGTTTATAAGGGAGTCCCCCGCCCATTCCCCCCCCCCCCCCCCTGGGTGTAATATACTGCGCCGTCACATCCGCATAAACGTACGGCGTAGGGAGACGAACAAGAACGCTTCAGGTTAGCATTATGGTATAGATGGACCAGCGTTATTTTTGCGCTCAAAATTCACAAATTTTCGTTATTTGGTGAGGCCATGGATCAGAATATTAGCTAGGATCACAAAGAAATCGACAAGGATTAGTTTTTCAAAATTGTCGTCATTTTAGGTTTTTTAAAAGACTGGCACTTTTAGCCCTGGTAACCGGAGATCACCTCGCTGCTACCTTAACCTACTTATTCCATTGCATTGACTTTATGAATTCTATTTTTTTTAAACAATAATAATATTTCAGATTGATCACTCCAAGGTTCAAAGAGCATGGCATCAGAAAATGGTCTCTCCTGCCATGACCTTAACAAGAACTGGAAGCCATCAAGCCAAGTCATTACATTCGGAAGTTTGTTCGTTAAAGATCTCCCTGATGGATTGTTCTTGCCTGAGTACCCTTCGACCTTCAATCCAACTGCCAAATTTCATAACGACGAGAAATACTTCATCCATGACATCCCACCCTACACTAACAATGAAGTTCAGTATTTGAAGCCTATCCAATTTTGCCCCATGGCAGGAAACGAGTTGCCCATGCTTTTACGAAACAAACCTGGAGAAGCACTCAAGCAACACTGGAAAAAATGGCTGCCTTTTTTTCCAGATGCGAACATGTGTGATTTAACCCTGGAAGGTACTGGAGAAAGGAAATGCTTTACCCAATATCCACTTCAGTGTCTTCCAAGAAAAAAACACGCTATTGATCCAGATGTACATCACAAGATCCTGTCCAAAAACTCCATCCCTGAAATGGGTGCAAACTGCCCTCGACACATGACCCTCGATGACTACACCGTACCGTGTATGATCAAAGCCTCGTGGGGTACTGGAGGTAAAGCAACATACTTGGCCAAAACGAAACCTGATGCAGAAAATTTCATCTATAAATTGCAAAATGAGTTTAGGTGCCCCGAGCCTGTAATTTCTGAATTCATCACAGGAGTGACTGGAAACTACTGTGTTAACTTTTACCTGTACAAATCTGGTGACGTTGAATGGTTAGGTTGTCCAATCCAAGATATTGATGAGGACTTTGGATGGATAGGAGTTCACATGGATTGGAATGAACAGGATGAATTGAAGGACAAACTGTACGACACGGTGATGCCTGTCAAGGAATACCTCCATCAAAATGGTTACTTTGGTGTTGTTGGTATCGATGTGCTGTCCAACAAGGATGGTAACTTTGTGATCGATGTCAACGCACGTATTAATGGTAGCACTACCCTAGTCATGATTGGGCCACACATGGCAGAGCTAGGCTACCCCATGTCAGCAAAACTCATGATAGAAGATGTAAAATGTACAGAAAGCGAACTGATTGACGAGTTTAACAAAATCAACTCAGAAGGGAAGGAGATGGTTATCAATTTGGCCAGCGTCGAGACAGAGAAATCCTGCACTGCTGTCATATGCCTTTTTGCAAAAACCGAGGAAAACTTAAAAACTCTATACAAAAAAATGGTGAATCACGAGTGTTGGTAGGTTGCATGATATAATTTAGTTTTTTTGATAATTGCAACCAATTACTGTTCTATTCGTATTAGTTCTACAGTATTTTTGTTGTAAACCTGTAGAGTAGGTCAACATGTCAGTGGTCTGCTTGTCTGTAACCTACTTCATTATCAATGTATCCTGAATTTCCCCATCGTGAATTGGTTTACTCCTGTCTTTTGTTAGTAATTGTATGCACGCCTCTGATGTGAATCAATTACAATGGACATGGTCCACCAGCATTCAATGCGGTCGTGATTTTTCATTGGAAAATGAGGTGACTTCGAATATCCACTGATTCGCAATATTGCGTTTTCATCCATCGGTTTAAAGGTCGAATCTTACAATATTTCCATTCATACAGTATAAAGGGATGATAAAGAGTAAGTTTTTGCTTATATTACGATGTATTTTTTTATTTTTAAACATGAGCAAAAGCTGGAAAGGGATGCTGGTGGACCATGTCCCTTTAACAAATGTGTTTGTAATTTGAAATCAAAGTCTGAAAATAAAGTCTTTTTAACTGTATCTGTATTGTGACAGTATGAAGAGTTTGAAAGTGAAAAATCTAGCTCATGAATTTGAAATGTCACTTCATGAGGCCATCGTCAATAACTCAACACAATAATCAAAGTGGAACTATACTCCTTTCTCTTTTACAATTAAATGCAAATCACGTCAATGTATCCACGGGAATGATATAGTGAAAACATTTAATCCGTGAAGCTTTTATAGTGCAAAATGGTAATAAACTATGCTAATTCCTTTGTTGTTAATTGTCTAATCAATGCTATTTAGTTGTAATTAGTACTATTTGTTTCACGGTTTTAGTGCGTTAACTCTAAGATGTCAATCACCTCTCTATTGTATGCAGATATTTTATTTCCAGTATTTTCTACTCATAGGTAACAATATAATAAATATATGCTGGTTGCTATCATAACGTCAGTTTATTTGAAAATCAGTCGATGTTTTCGCATGACGCCAAAATTATCAAACATCCCGGATACATTGTCTAAAATTGGAAAACGAAATTGTAAAACGTTCAACTCGTGTTTAAAGCTCAAATGTTTCAGCTATTCTATCGCATTTCCGGGACTGATGTTTGTGGCGGCACCGAGTTATAAAGTTGAAAACACCTGGAACTGGTTTATATAATTAAAAATAAAAATAAAATGTTATATTATGTCAGTCCAGTGGTTAAAGAATTATTGCCAAACTACTGAAGGTTGATGCTTGTTTACTCTGAAACCATTGTTATCGAGTACGAATTATCTAATCATTTATATTTCTGCGTCGATCAAATAAACAGTAATACACACCAGACTAGTAAAAGCTGCAAAGCTGCAGTGGAAACAACAAATCCGTGAAACGACGCCATTTTGTACCAGAAAGCATGATGGAAGTTGATCGTCCCCGTAATTTTTTAGGCCCACCATCTTTCCAAACCCTATTTTGTTTTTTTAAAAACGAGCTACAGGAGAACTGTTTTAGAGAACTGTTTTAATACACTTCTCCGCACGATGGTTGTTGAGCAAAGTTAATAGTTCACTATTTGTTGAGTCTGTCGAGTGATAATTTAAAAACCTCTCTAGTGCGATATCATCTCCAAGACTTTTAAATTCGCCCTAATATTCGTCCATGGTCTATGATTCTATTCTTTACAAACTGTCAACAAAATAAACCAATACTATCTAGCTAACATTTATATTGAGCAACTCTTGGTGAGTATTTTGCCTTCTCAAATATCTGTAATATTGAGATTTCAGAAAAAATAGACTATTGCGTCGGGAAGGCATAATGTAAGACATTTAATCGACGTTTAATCGAGTAAATATATCGTTTACGACCATCATCAATATATAGATAACGTTTGCAATACAGACAGACAGACAATCACTAATGGTAGGATAATAGTTGTCATGTTGGTTAGCAAGGTGGGTTTCACTGTATCTTCTTGGTTTCACGTTTGTTTCTCAATTTCATGCCTCCGTTTTTTTCTTCGGACAATTCCTCTTCACTCTCGTCTTCATTCTGGTCCTCTACTTTCTTCTTTGGTGTCTCCTTCTTTACCTTCTTACGTTGCTCTCTTTTCTTTGGCGAAGAGGCGGCTGAGTATTCACGCCACAACCTGATCTGATACTTGATAAAATTCCATGCAAGCCAGGCCTGGACAAGAATCACTCCCGCCATTGCTGTAACCCTAACAAAACAAGAAAATAAAGTGTGTACCATAACCGCCAAATAACCTGGCCTCGTTTGCAGCCATTTTTATAAACAGCTCCACCGAGGAGGTTAATACTTACCTTATAAAAGGAGTATTGAAGTTTCCAATATCAACATTCAGAGCTGCGTTCTCAAGACGTGGAAGACCATACCTGCACAATGACAACGTTAGTTCACAATGCTTGAAATACATGTAGCTTACCATGCTATCTGGAAATAACCATGCTATCTGGAAAAAGCATACTATCTGGACATAACTAACCATTCTATCTGAGAAATGCTTTCTGGAAATACCTAATAGTCATTTTACTTACCAGAACGTCATGACGGTGAGTGCAATGATTGCCAAACGGGCCAACACAAACATACCAGACCAAACCATGAAACTAAGAATAATATTTTTAAGTGTAACTTTATTAGTTTAGTAAGAGATAGAGACTAGTAATGAGTCAGGCTTTTCGTCTTCCCTCCAACAGTCCCCTCTCCACAGGAAGCCCAATCTTTTTTAAATGGAAAAATTAGATGTCAGCGGAGAAGGCTAATCCACACACAAGACTAATTGAATTTTGAGTGGAAATTTCCAACAATACTTCCATGAACTTATTGTTAGCTTTTGCTAAATCTTTGCAAAATGCTGAACATCATAATCATTATCAAGTTTCTGTAAAAACTTACACATTCTTGGCCATTTCAGCTTTTCCACTAATCTGCAATAACCTCATGGCATGATATACAAACTCAACAGAGTAGTGAATAGTCAGGCAGCAAATTGCAAGATGGGTGAAACTACAAGATACAATGTATCACTTGACATATCATATTGAAGAAACTACAAAGTTGAAATAATGTAGTTCAATTTCATAGTAATCATGTTGACACAGGAGAGATGTTTTCCCTTGTTGAGGAAAAAATATTGACAGTTCCTTTCATCACAGTCAGTAGGAATCAAATACAACCTTTCCATTGATGAGTAGCTTCATTGAGACAATTATTAATTCAACTGGTCACAGCTTTTGGTACAAATACACTCAAGATTTTTCACGATCATTTACTTACTTCAACATATAAGCAGCCCAAATAAAGAATAAATACTGAACATACAGCTGAATCTTGGCTGAGATCTCTTCCTGAAAACAATCATCTGTATTAAGCTTAACCTGAGACTGGACTTCAACTAGTGACCCCTTGCAACAGCATTGTAGTTCAAACTGTACAATTTTGTGTCAGTTCTCCTTCTACTTGACTGTCTATACTGCCAAAATACATGAGGTGTTCTTGCAAAAAGAGACAAATGAAAACTTTTCAACCATTTTTGTCATGTGACATCTTGATTTCTGAATTTACAATTCAAATGGTTTCACGTCAAGGAATCAAAACGACAGAAAAAAGATCACAATAATCAATGAATATTTTGATCAGTTCTTTCTTTTTGCTACCTGACACTTCATGTAATTCAATAGCAAAACCTCTGGGATCAACACTTGATTCAGCGCTTAGCAAGATCAAGATTGAGACAGGTTCAAGGCCTGTCTGTGGTGTTTTTTCATTTCATGCAAATAATCTGTCAGACTGTTGATGGAGTATCAGATAAAAGCACACTTAAATCTAATTCACTCTTATAACAAAGTTTAGTTATCATGAAAATGCCTGGATTCATTTTAAAACCACTCATATCTAAAAGTATCTCCTATTCTCAAAGCGTTTTTAAAAAGCACCCTTGACAACAAGTTTTCAATTCCAAGGCTTTTCAAGGATTTCAAGGAGTAGCACAAACCATCCATAAACTATATGCATTAGCTTTGTTGAGAGGTAGGTTTTAAGTGTCCTTACCTTTCTTGCTTTCATAAAGTACAGCTCAGGAAAGCAATGGACCCAGTGAGCAATTTGAAGGATAAAATAAAACTTGAGCACAAATCTGAACATGGAATGAATCGAAAACAGTTTAAAAAATCATCATCTAGTATAAAAAACAATGGATGGACACCCTCAATGAATATAACAATTCATTCAAACTAATGCACCTATCAAGTCTTGCCCCAACGGGTGGAGCCTAGGCATACCCAGGGGCTATTGACATTTTTGGAAAACAATTATGTCAATGAGCCCCTCTTAAATTCTACATCAAATGGCAATAGTCCCTTTATATGATAACAATTTAATGTAAAGTTAAACAGAACAGCGATGCTCAAAGCTCAATAAAAGCTGAGTCTGGTTTAACTCTTAAAAAACCTATAGAGCTAATCCTAGATTAACGCATGTTTAACATGAATCTTTCCTGCAGTTGTTAAGTGAATGATATAACATTCTAAAATGTTTAGTCTCTGATCAAATTGTCAATGATAAGCCCTACACTCGGAGATCCCTGTGTCAATAAAAGTCTCACAGCCCCTGTCAGAGGCTAGGTTCAATTTATTGCAATTCAATTTTTGTGCATTAAATCATTTTCATGTACAATACTAACATTCATAGACAAATGCATATCATTTACCATTTATATTAGAGTACAAACACTAAAACTGTGCAACATAAATACTGCTAAATTATGCTAATTCTATTGTTTTCTATTGTTTAATCAACACTATTTTGTAGTAATTAGTGGAAAGTGTTGCACACATTTAATGTTTGTACTCTACTACTTACGACATCTCGTTATGAGGATAGCCATCCCAAAGGTTAGTTATACTTGGAAAGAACTTCTCCTATAAAGAAACAATAATTATTCAACAACAAATTTTCTTTAATACAAGCTAGAGGGGGTGAGCTGTCATGAAGCATAGGATGTGAAAAATGTTCAGTTTCTAAATATTTTATTTTTGATCAATATTAAAAACATAATAAGTTTTGTGTTAACATGAAACTCATGTGTTTATCATGCTAAGACAACAAGTACTGTGTTTCACTATTTCAACCATAAAATAGACTACAAAGTCAGATGATAGGAATCTTTGCTTTTACCATATGGGAAAGATTTCAAGCATCCAAATAACATTTCATACCCTTTCTTTCAGGACCAAAATTTAAGTCAATTATTATACATTTATTAGATTACTATTACCTTCATGATAATGTCAAATAATATTTCATACCCTTTCTTTCAGGACCAAAATTCAAGTCAATTATTATACATTTATTAGATTACTATTACCTTCATGATAATGTCTGCACCCCATGCAGCTGAGGCAAAGTAAAATGGAAGAAGCTCTCCAGAATCATTGAATTTAGAATTCTTTGTTTTTGATAGGTGCAGTTTGCGAATGACTTTCTGTTATTACATAAAAACAATTTTAATGTCAGAATACATTAATCTCCTTAAGATATTAAATGAAAATGTTTTAAGACATATATAACTTACATCTAAAATGTATTCTTGGATAATAGCATGGACTACAATCCATGCTAGACTATAAAAGAAGATGGTACAAAAGTCCTTTGGACCATTGGTATAGGTTGTAACTACATCAACACCATCAGTTACTGGAAATAAAATAATAGACTTTACTGGTCACTTTCACATGAACTGATTCTAGTTTTATTCCATACATAACAACTGTGATTCCTGTTATTTGAAATAATACAATTAGCTTCCTGTCTGAAATATTAAAGCGAGACTGTTTCATTCAATAGAAATTCACCCAACACAGCTCCCCCATACAAGTGCATCCCTGAAAATGACTTAACTCTAAAAGAAAACTATCTCATTTCTAGTTAATAAAATAAAATTACATTATTTATAATATACAGGCTCCCATGAATCCTTGTTTGAGCAGATGTGCAGGTCTTAATATATGCATGTAAGAGCTAGGGGTCTCTTTGTTTTTTTGTATTTCAAAGTAGAAAGAGAAACCTTAACAAAACCACATCTATCTGAATTTAATTATATCTCAAAATAACTGTTTTGAAGAAAATAGTACAAGGAATGAAATATAGTCAACATAGTTATTTACATGACATCAAAAAGAAGTTGGACCGAGTCACCCGACAGGAGTTATCGAGTGTGACCTTTTGAAATGAGCCAATCCGAAGTCAACACGAATTTTTACCGAGTGAAATTGTTCYCAGAGTGAAATCAAATTTCCTTAACAAAAACAATCCATAAACGCCTTTAATTGTAAAGCATAACAAGAATAAACCATAACTAAAAACAAAAATTGCTGGAAGTTCCTGGAATCGACTCTCTAACGATAGACAATTTATTGATCGAATGAAGAATCAAATTATTCACGTGTAAGCTAAAGACTGGCCAAACCTACAAAACGCACTAATATTGCCGATTTCAAGATACTTCGGACTTACCATTAATTTCTCTAGTTACATTATGTTGAGGGGCAATAAATACAGCAGCAACTTTTGAAGTTACCTAAAATAAACCAGCAAAACAGCTGTAATGAAAGTAGTCGAAATCAAATTGTAGACTAGATTATCCTCGATTCTCGTACCTGAAACATTAGCCCTATCATGAAAACCATGCATACACATGACACGATGTCTCCGTGATTTGTAATAATAAATTCGTGGCTAAAAATGGGAGCATTTTTGCCCGATTTTCGTCGGCCCGGCATCTTGTACACCGTAAAGAAAGAAGAACGATGAATAGGTTCGGTCCAGTCCTTCTCCGATTGAACGAGCCGTGGAGTCTAGACATAAGCGGAGAAAACAAAATGAAAGATCTTTAGTCACTTTTATGCATCTCGTAGAAATTTGTTTGCTGAGACCTCAAAGGACTTAGGAATAACTCTTATCGTTGTTTTTGTTTTTACTTATCAAGAAATTTAGTGCAATCTTGAAAGGACAATATAAGTGAAAACACCAGTGCGAGTCGTCAAAATGAAAGAAAAATTGAAATTATAGCTCTATTATATTTGGATTGATGCTGTGTCGCTGATAACAAATATAATTCCAAAAATATTTTTATCAAATTTTCAGTRTTGATCAAGGATGATCAATAATAAAGGTGATAAGTAGAATCAAAGAATCGATAAGCTATAGTGTACATAATAAACTTTTTACTGCTTTATTAGACTTGTATAAAACCCATATTTCACTTTTAGTAATTAAATTCTAAACGCCTATTGATTGAATTTTATTTGAAAACACACAACTAACGAATAGGCTGTCCTGTTGTTTTTTAATTAAAACTTCTAGATTTTTTGTACAATTTTTGTCATCGGAACTTCCAGAGCTCGCGGAGCAGCTGTAGAACGCAGTTCATAAATATTTATGAGGGGAAGTAATTATGCTTTACCGTCAACCAATCAGCGTACGATGGGTACTTGGCAATTGTTTCCTCTGGCAGTATGTACATCATGAATGATCGAAGCCCGAACAATGTTTACACGAAACGATGGCTTTAAATTCGCCTAGAGTTCCTTCTTTCCTACACTAAACAATGCCAGAGAAAGAGACCACGCTACCTCTAGAGCTTTGGCGAGTTGTGATATCTTATCTAACTGTTATTGAGTTGTGTCGATGTGCTCAAGTTTGTAAGGAATGGAGAGAACTCGTAAAAAGTTTGGATAGCACTCGATGGAAAACCCTTTTTCTTAGTGCTAAGAAATGGCGGCATCCAAATTGGCCAAATACTTCCAAGAAGGAACCGTCGTCTTGGAAAAAGACTTACAAAGCTCATCATTTAGCTTCGAAGCAATGGATGAGCCGTACCACTGATGTCAAATGTTCTCCATTTTTGATATCTTTGCGTCGACGACCCGAAAGGGCAACTTTAAACGTAGGTCAAGGCAAGAAATTCCCTACAATACGTGATGCATTGAACGTCGCCTCGCCGTTCGATCGTCTAGTTCTTCATCCAGGTGTTTATGATAAACAGCACTTTCTAGTTTTGAAGTTTCCAGTAGAAATCTACGGCGAGGGAGAGTTAGGTGATGTTGTGTTGCAAATGACGGTGGAGCAACAGTGCTCTTCAGCTCGCCTTGTGAATGTTGTTGTTCTTCCAGGAACTGGAATCTTAGTGCAAAACTCTCCAGTAATTGTGAAGGTAAGGATTCTAAAGTTAGTTTATGTCATATTTTTATTTATCAACACCTTTTCTTTGACATTTTTGACCAAAAGATTTAAAGATAAAAACTCAACGTGTTTCCAGGTTGTTGATCACGATAAATTCAAACAAATAATATCTTAGAAACTTTGTTTTTGTTTTCAAAGTAACTTTTTTCAAGTATTCTAAAGGAGAATGAAAAAGGTGGGAGTTTAAACAAATGTCTGTATTGTTGAGAGATTATTTGACTATAATATATATACACGAAACGTTTTCGGCTTCTGAAAATTAATTAATTTATAGCTGTTTTTCAGCCAGTGATGGACCTCTATTACTAATATAATTTTCTCTTTTTCTGAGAGAACATTACTTTTGCAATTAATTTATTTTATAGCAGAAAATGTCAATAACCTCATTTCATTAATCCTGAAGTATGAGATATTTAGTAGATAGTAGACTCAAGAAGTCAGCTCTGACCCGACTCTTCTCTGTACAGGTGTAATATGCTCAAAAATGAAATCTAACAGCTGCTTCTCTATAAAAAATATATTTTGTGTCACATTTAATATATGTCCACTGAAAGTACGTATTTTTTTTAGTAAAATTTGACATCTCAATAAGCAAGCAGTGTCACCACTTTGTTCCAAGTTTATACTTATGAATTATTAAAAAAATACTAATACTCAAATATACATGTCTTGTAACTTTCCAGCTTATCTTGGTGCGTCTACTTGATATATTTCTAGGATTCTCTGTCTTTGTTTTGGACCAATCATTGAATCTCAGATTTTTGTCAGATTTGCAGAAGGGGGTCATGTAGTTATAGTGTTAACACAGAGAATTGAATGGTCTAGAAGCAACTATGCCAAATTTTACCCTTAAAATGGGCGGTGTTGCACTTTTTACAGCTGAGGGGCAGACATTTGTAGATCTTATCAGTCACCATTTTGCAAAATGCCAAATTGTTTGTTGGCTGTTCTACTCATAACTTTGGCATTTCAAGCAATATTAATGTTAACATTCGCCATGTTTCTAAGCTAATCATTTGCCTATATGTACAATACTTTATGTAGTTGATTACGGTTTTTGCAATTTATTCGTGATTTGCATGTTATCTAACTATTTGTATATGTGCACCTCATCATAAAAACTTGATTTTTCAGAAATTGCTCGAATGTATTTTGATGAAAATTTTGAGATCAATTTTGTAAAAAAACATACTGAGAGACAATCTGGAGTGGAATGTACTTTTTTGACAATATGTGTCATGTTACTGTAGTGAGAGTTTGACTCAAAGGAGTCTTTCTTTACACTTAATGCACTAAGTCTGTACAGAACACAACTGACTAGAAGGATAGTATTGTCGGAACTCTAATTACTTGACAAACAAAATTCTAGAATATATTGTGTTCTGTAGAACTGAGCGCTGCAGCATAAATATTATGCAATACAAAGTCGGTACCCAAAGTATTGATCTTTTACTTTTATTTGATGTTGCCTTGGAGTAAACCTAGTAATTTGAATAACTGTGGCGCAGCTTTATAAATCAGTGAATTTCATAGATTACTTCATTTTATGCAGGAGATGTATTAAAACAAAGTATTCACTTGATGATTATGTCATATTTGAACTGTTTTTTTTTTAGATAACTCAAACTTTTAGTGAGGTATTCAGTAAGCTTTGAAGTATTTACAATTTTATGCCATTTTCCTTTTTCACCCTTTTTCGTTATTCTTTTGTTCCACTTTTTTTTATTTTTTTGTTTTCCATCTTCGGTTTCTTATGCATTTTTTCATTTGTTTCTTGCTCCTTTCTTTTCCCGAGTCTTTCTTGCGTACTTTTTTTAGTTTTCAATAAACTTAACTTTATTTTGTTTGCTAAAATGCCATAAAGGTGTTCATCATTCTCAGTTATTTAATCTTCGTTTCATTTCTTTATCAGTGTCCTTGTGTTCAGTCGGAAGAAGGCCATTACGGCCAACAAACACAGCTGAAAAGAGAGAGAAAATACTACTTTCAATATATCAAACCGGTACCACTTGAAGTTGTCGTTAAGTTGTCATAAAAAGCAGAATTATAAAAGCTAGCAATTTAACCAAGTGCACTAGACTCGGATATTTACTATCTCGTCTCTTTCATATCCTGGCATATCACAATGGCTACATCAAGATGAGCCAGTGAAATGGGTTTTCAACTATACTTCTTTGCCGACGTCTGTCATGTTCTGAAAAACTTTAAAGAGGCGAAAATGAAGTTCTAGTATACAGTTAGTTTCATAGTTATTGCCGCTATGAAACAGGTATTTGAAACAACACTGGAAAGCATGCTTTATTTTTGTTCTCTTAATTTGTATTGTTTAAAGTTGAAAGAATTTTAGCGTAGTATCTCGGATGGGTTCATTACAAGCTATCTACTTTCGATTGTACTTACACCAGTTTCCAAGTGTCCGGTTTTGAATATGTCATTTATCTCTTTCACATTTCTGTCAAATTATGGATGGGATAATTAAAAAAGCTTTTAACAGGGAGTTTTTTTTTCCTGGTCCCATTTTGCTTAATACGACAATAAGTGCCTGAAGGCCCGTCTACACAAGATGTTTTTCTTAAATTTTTGTATACAGCTCCGAAAACTCATTAGACGGTGTAATCATAAGTAATATAACTAGGATGATCCATGTTGAACGGCAAAGGCAGTTAATGAAATGATACCGTTTCCGCTAAGTTCTGTTAGCCCGTTTAACAAACATCTCTTAATTTGCTATTTTGTTTTTTGTTTTGTGTTTTTGAAATTGAAACTGGATCGAGCAATGTTGTCAATGTTCTTGTCCTGATCTGACCGACGATTTCTATGGTGTTGTTTCGATTCTCAGTTCCTTGGTGATTATTTTCACTCAGGAAAAACTGGCAGAGCTTTAGGTCGCGAGTGCGAAGTGCTATAATGTTATATATGTCGTACGACGTGCTGTAAGTTTATCATCGTAGTTATGCATACTGTTGTAGATAAATGAGGCTCAGTAAATGTGGAATGATATCGATCGGGCAAACTCCAAATATATTGGTATTATAAGGAGAGGCATCCCGTTGGCATTCATGCTATGTTGATCGCCATGAACCGCGGTGTATATTATAGAAGTGAACAAATTAAAAAAGGGAAATTATAATCAATATAGAACAAAGTAGAAAGGCATAATAAACGAATTGAGTGTTAAAGACATGATGGATATCTAAGAATCGATGAAAACTAAGAGGAATGAACATCTATGGAAAAAGTGTTTTTTTTTTATTTGTGCAGGCGAAACGGTGCAAAGAAAGTGGAAGACCATAGAATGAAGATAAATGAATTTAAGAATGTGAGCTAATGAATGGATGATCGAAAGGGAAATGGATGAATAGATGATAGGAATGAACTGATTTTCTGGAGGCAACTTCCACATAAAGAATAGAGACGTGGACCAATATTCAAAAAATCAATCAAAAACAATCAATTATGACAATCAAACTAAAAAATATATTGACTACATATACAAAAGCATTAAGGCTGTTATTCTGTTTTGTATAACCAACATTGAAAAACGTGAAAAACGAATTGTTGAAATGAAATTGTAAGCGGTTTTGAAGAATTCGTTTTTGATTAAATTAAAATGATTCAACATGGCCACCCACCCATCAAGGGGTGGTTTTTGTCGATTAAACATTTGTCAGTGTTAAGTCGGGACTTTCTTCTGTTCAACCCGCATCTTGCGAAAGGTTTTTCGTTCTGTCCAGATCAGACGCTGATCACCTTCACTCTATTTGTACATTATTTACGACAAGTCATTGTTTACTCATTTAATTAAAACGGGAAAGAATTAAAATGTAGGAATAAGTGATAAGATAAAACCTTATGGTTCAAAAAGTACACGATAAATTTTCCACATCATCGCATAGCCGTATGTATAAAACTCAGTAATCAAAAACATGACTGACGGCTTTCTCCTGAAACAATATGTCTATTTGTTCATCATTATTGAGGAAGTTTCGTTTCCGTCATTGAAGCTGCTTTATGATATCTTCTCAATTTGTTCCTCTAGCGCACTAACCACACAGAATTGTTTTTTCCACGAAAAAAAGCATGAAAAGTTCAAGGCGAAAATCAGTCCATGAATACCATTCAATTAAGCTTTGGTTGTCAATGACGTGTTGGCATAAGAGTTGCGTAGCCGTGTCGTAATGAAGTTAATTGTAGCGCAAAATGATGTTTGTCCTTATTTCAGACAACAAACATTTACCTTCAGTGTCAACAGGGAAGAAAATACCTTGCATCATTGTTAGACGATAAGCTTAGGCGATAAGAAAAAACAATTAAAGCAATATTATCCTCCTTCTTTTCCTATTTTAATGCTTCCGGGATCAAAACGACAAGCATGATAAAAAAAAAATATTGTTCACGAATGTTAAGAATTATCACTAATTATTATCACTAAGATGGTGTTTTTTTAGATCAAGCATGGTGCGCGCACTAAGTCATACCGATCTGAGCATGCGTAAATCGTGCCGTCGTTGTGGAAAATGTTTCAATTACGTAATGATCAAATCATAACTTAGTAACATAGTTAATCTATTGGTCTATCTTAACAAGTATATGACTTTCATCTAGCGGCATATAATAAGGAGGTTATTGATGACAGAATTAGTTGGTGTTCGTAAACGATATGATATCGGTGGTTGAAATGACTGATGACGGTCGTATAAATGTCCTTCAGCTTCTCCCGCGATTTGGTGGTTGCATCTAGTATACATCAATTACATTTTTAGAACTGACATATGTCAAGTATATTATGATGGGTGTTGTGTAATATGAATGTCACATAATGATTGGCGTATCAAGTAATGATTGACGTGTCAGATATCTGTATATTGACGTTTGATATACACAGGCGATCTCGACAAGGGTTACCCTGCGCGAGCCCGGCCTGTGAGCAGAGGGTTTTTCCAACCCCTCCTACGAAGAAAAGAAAAAGGGGTTGGAAAAATCAACCTCTGCTCACAGGGTAGACAAGGGTGTCCACCTAAAAACACATTTCAATGTTCCAATTGTCACATGTCTTGATATGTATTCCGCAGAGTCTGAATAATGGTATATTCTCTAATATCCCAATAGAGAATTGTAAAAAAACGCTTTGTAATTTCTGCACTGAAACACACTTCATATTCTAGATCACTTCACACGAACGGAAAGTGAATATTTTTACATGGCAATTGTAACATTGTAAATGTCTTCACCCATTCCCATGAGATTCAAAAGATAAAAGAAGAGCCGGCCATGTTGGAGGAATGAACAATAGATTCTAATGAAAAATCCTTTGTTAAAGTTCCTTCAAGATGGCCGCTGTGACGTAACTTGAAAACGAAGAATTCGAGCTAAGAGCATCTTTCAAGCTATATAATGGTATTGATATATATATTGGTTAACGTATGAAATTGTATTGTTTTAGGTGGCGACAGGACATATTCAAATAGATAACTGTATATTTGAACATGGTCATATTCAAGTTTCCTCGCCTGGAAGTATATCTATTCGTTACTGCACTTTTAACCATTCAGCCATCATTTTGCGTTCTGTAGGATTTAGTCGCATCGAAAACTGTGAATTTGTTACCGACGACACTTCATCAATTATCGTAGAAGGTATTCCACCAATCACAAGACAGCGTCCGGTGTCGAGACCTGTCGAAGGCTGGATGAGGATCAACGGAATCGACTCGTCCGGTCTCGAGGACTTATATGACTTGTCTTTCCTCCGCAATACCTCACACACACGATCAAAGAAACAAAGCAAAGAGACTGTCAAGGACCAGCTTTCGTCTGTCGAAAATGTCAAGAAAGTTAAAAGCGGTAACAATTCACTCAAAGATCTTCAAACCAAAGAAAGTCGCGTTACTAGTATGACAACGAGCAAGTACAGTCTCTTGAAGTCCAAAGACAACAGTCTACCAAAGGGTAAACACAAATTAGATACTGTAAGCCGTGACATCATACGGTCAATACACGGCTGTGTTATTAGGAATAACTTATTTAAGACTTGTCGCGGAGCAGTTCTTGTTAGACGACGTGGACACGCGTGGATCGAGGGTAACGAGATGTCCGGCGTGGGACTCTCGCACGGGATACGGTGTATCTCAAGCGCGAAAGTCGTGGCCTTGTTTAACCGTATTCATAACTGCGAGACGTCAGGCATATTTTTCCGTGAGTCGTCGAACGGTCTCGTTGCTGGTAATGTGATCTATGAGAATAAAGAAGCTGGTGTTGATATACGCAGTGGTTCGAATCCAGTACTACAACACAATCAAATCCATAGTGGGAAACGATCAGGGGTTGTCATATTGGATCGCGGTCGAGGACTGATACGGGACAATGACATCTTTGATAACGCTGAAGCGGGTGTCTACATTCTTTACAGAGGAAACCCAGTCGTCAAGTATGTGTTTTGTGTGGTCAATTTGAGAACAAATAGGACTGGGGGGAGCATCCTTCAATAGGCGATAAACTGTGGCGCTATTTTGTCGAACAAAGCATGCTGGGAGGATTAGTCTTTTTTATCTCCGTTAACTTTAATCCTCCAAATTAGTATTTATCTTTTCTTCAAAGAAACTGCTTGTATTTTGGCAAAAACATCTCGAAAAATTGAGATAATCAAGAGCTGTAATTGTATTCACCCTCGTGGTCGAGAAAATTGTCGTCGCTGCAAATTGCCTATCATTTGCGTTGCATTATAAGATCGAATTATGCAGGGAATCCGCACATCATCCGTTGTAGCTATCACTTAAAGGATAACAATATATGAACATTAGTTGAAATTGGTGTATTTAATTAGGCTTATATCCACTATTCGCTCGTTCATATTGCATTAATGTCAGTCATACTTTTTCTCTGGCTATCCCATTAACCTCTTTGAGCCTAGAAAAAAAATTGTATAAAAGAAAAATCGATTTGCGAGTAGCGAGTAGGAGTCAGCCTACAAAATTAATTAACCCAAGGGTATAATATGTCGTCAACGTCTATTTGTATTGCAGTTGCAATAGTGGGAGTTTTGCTATTGCAACCACTCTTTACAAAATATCTCTTACTAAAAAGTCTCAAATCTATCGGCGCCATGTTGGATCAATAAACAAGAGAAGCTTGTGAGAAGTCAGTCATTTTCCTTCATCCAACATGGCGGCTGTGATGTAACGTTCAAGTCGAGGATACACACTATTGCAATCATTACTCTCCTGTAACTTTTGTTTTGTTTGTTTGTTGTTTCATCTTTCACTGCTTAGTGACTTGACAAGTTATCACTCATGACAATGGTGATTCTTTTCCAGGAACAATCGTATCTGGTCAGGACAGGCGGCGGGAGTGGCTGTCACCGAGGAAGGGCGTGGTCAGATCTGTCATAACGATATCTGTGGTATGGAATGGGGTGGAATAGATATCAGGAATGGCGGTAACCCTGTTGTGTCCAATAACTATATAAGGGACGGTCAAGCTGATGGGATTGTGATTGGTGTAGGTGGCAAAGGCATTATAATGGATAATGACATCATAGGTAAGGTGCTACAATGCTTAATTGTGACCTGAGAACCCATCATTGTGACCCATTGTCCGCATCATGAATTACCTGTAGAGTAGAGACAAAAAATATCCAAAAACCTATTACTTAAAACAAGAAAGATTTTTTTTTTGATATTGTGCAGGAATTGAGGCAGTGAGCCATTTAATTAAATTACTCCGAGACATCCTGTACTTAACACAAATCCTTTAAGCACCTCACGTCTGATAATGATTTATAATGATCATTTAATGATATTGTTAATCCATCGTTTGATGGTGTTAGTTTTCTTGTCGTTCTTGGCATCCTGAATTAAGAGCAAACATTTCCTTAGGGTAAGCTTAAGTGCGTCTTTTGTTTAATGGAAAATAGTTTAACGATCAAAAAGAGCAGTTAATAGTATCAAGCACCTGATGTCGCTGTTTTCAATAGTGGATACCATGCAGCGTTATAGAATGCATGGCATGACGGCAAATGTCTTCAAACTTCAATTTTTCCGCTTTTGTCTGTTTCTGTAAAACATGTTGTCTTTCACAAATTAGATTTACTTTTTTGAATGTTAGAATAAAGAAGGGAAATTTAGGATACAATGAATGTAATCCCTGTGACCATTCTAGAGCTGTATCGCAAGTATTTAGCACCCATTCCAGAAAATCATAGTAGCTATAAAACTCACCATTAACTGGACGTATTCTTTTCCAGGTAACAGTGGTTGTGGTGTTTGGTTACTAACTATCTCTAAACCTGTTATTTACAATAATCGAATTGGTGAAAGTGGAGATTGTGGAATCTCTTTTGTAAGCAACAGCGACATTGTTCACGAGAACCAACAGCTAAGCTCGCAGTTCTCCCAACAAGAACAAGATCAGGTACAGAATATATATGGTAGACGCTCAGTGAGAACTGAATAATAATTTTTTTCGAATAAAACGAGTAGAAAACGCTTGATTGCAAGCAGACATGCCGAGTTAGTCTCGGACCGCGCATTGACGATCATGCACAATGACCATCAGCACCCTATAGGAGCGCAAACTAAAGAAAGAAAAAGAAAGTCAATATTTTTTTGTGATTTCAGGAGCATCTTCTTCAACCATTTTTTTACGATGAAGATGTGACTTCTTCAGCAAACTTTGATGACCACGATCATACCCAAGATATCACAGGTAAGATGTGTAGCCAGATTTTTTTTTGTGTTGTGATTTTTTATAATTGTGATACATAGCTAGGTGAATGATTTTGGGTTTCCTGTGTTTGTAATACCAGGCAACTGATACGAGGTCATGTATGGTAGTGTGGATTTTCCCGAACCCCCGGGGAATACCGGAGAATTTAACGTTTGAGTGGTAGTGTTAAAATAAGACATTTCCCCGGTAGTAGGGGGTACATTCATTATTAAAATTGGTCTAGTAGTAAATAAGAAAACAAACACCTTTCAATCAAATTTTCTGTGATACACAGGGTTAATTTTTGTATGATCCTGTGTACTAATTTGAGTACTACATGAGGCTAACTGCATGACGGAGATCAACATGTGTTTCTTTTAAAAAATTTTCATGCAAGGAAAAACAAACAAATACAAAAACAGGGTTGAATACCAATGCTTTCAGTGTATTTCTCAAGATGGCCGACCTCTAGTTTCCAGCTTCATACATATACAAACGAGCGTTAAAATCGCAGCTTTTCCCCTCTTCGAAAACAATTCATCAAAATCCTGACCCCCGGGGCAATCTTGCTGCTAAGACGCACTGACTTTAAAAACTCGCCACGTCCCCGTTGAGTGAAACGCTATTCCCGGGGGTCGGGGGTCGGGGGTCGTGGGTCGGGGGGTTCAATTGACTAGTGCAAAAATGCATTTTCACGATATCTTCAAATATATTGAATTATTATTGTAGCAATGTATTAGAGTCTACAGCATCTCGAAGGGAAAGCAGCCGAGTTATTAATTTTTTCATTGTTGTGTAGGGCCCAAGCCAGATAAAAACTTCGCAACAGTCGACAATAACGTTATCTTTGAAAACAGTGGTCATGGGATCCACTTCTGCGCCAATGAAGGACTCCTTATAAGGGAGAACTGTATCCATAGTAACCAAGGATGCGGTGTCAGTATTACAAAGCCAGCGGACATTACCATTCAAGATAACATGATATGTGATAATGAGGGCTCAGGCATCATCCTAGATACAAGTTCTTCCGCTAGTATCCATGGTAACGGTATCTACGGCAACCAAAAACATGGCTTACATATTTCTGGAAAGGGGGGTGTGCGGGAAAACGATGTGTTCTTGAACTCTCTCAGTGGGATTCAAATTTGTGGTCCTGGTGACCCTTTCGTTGCGCGAAACCGAGTGCAGTCCGCCAAGCATCATGGTATAAGTATCATGGAAAACGCGCGTGGATTTGTTGAGTGGAATGACATATTTGAAGCTAAAGTCTCTGCTCTGTACAAACATCCAGAAAGCACAACACATATTTACAATAACAATGTGGTTTCTATCAAGCTCTCCGAGTCAAGGCCGTTCTGTACGTATGACATCAAGACCATGGAATGTAAACTTGATGAATCTGTAACCCTAGAAGAAAACGCGCCTCCATTACGACCTGCAACCAACAAAACCAACGAAAAACATAAACTACGATTAGGTAATGCCGCAGGACAGACAAGGATCGTTTCACTGTATGCTGGATGTCATGGAAGGACACGGTTCTGCGTCATCTCCTAACTGTTACGTCACCAAATTTACGTCATTATTAAAGAGCGTCATAGTTTTTAAAGATATCCCAGAATCCTTTGTGTCGCAAGTTGCTCGAGAATCTTCTCGTCAGACAGGGATTTTGATTTTGTAAAACAGCTTTACCATTGTAGTGAGAGTGCTCGCTCTGCGAGATCCTAGCGCTATTTGATAATCACATTAATACAACGAGTCTCGTTGTTTCAAGTCTTAGTCTCATTCATTGAAGGGTTGATCTCAGTGTGACATTTAGCATTTTGAATAGGTGTTTTGAAATTTATTGAAATGTTTTGCTGTTTTCAACGGTTTTCAGCAATTGCATTCATTGCAGGTCACATAAGAAAGTTTACTAAAAGTCGTACATTGTGCTTTTTGAATTTATTGTGTTCAAAACATGAAAGACAAGCTTTATTATTTTAGGCCTGAAAGGCGTGTAGGATAAATGTAAGATAGAATTTACAAGTATTATATTTATTGTAAAATATGTATAATATATAGGAATGAAATAAATCCCTTGATATTGACACCCGAAGTTCTTCAATTCCTAGTACACGGGCTTCCTAACAACTTTCTTTTCATTTTATTCTCATTATCTCTTTTTCTCACATCATCCATGACAAACTTTCCTTGCTCCTCGCCTTATTCCCTATTAAAATAGACCTAAAACTACGCCCATTTCCAAATGTTAAGGAAGAGCTCGGCGGAATGATTTTGTAAATTCTATTTCTTACTCTACACTCTCAGGCAGAACAAAAAGTACCAAACCAAACCCTTTTCGGTTGTTTATTAGTTCTTAATCACAGTCGGAATGGTAAACCAGTGACCGCGGAGCATATTTTTGGTAGGGGCCGGACGCGTTAGCGAACATGCCGAGTTTTTGAAATTTGAACCTCTGAAATGCTGTTTCCAGAATTTTAAGGGGCATCGATAACATATTTTATGCAGTGGAGCTATGAGAATTTTCCTTGGCATTTCTAAAAGTTACTAGTATAGTAGTGGTCAACAAACTGAACATTTTATTGAATGCCCATTTCCAAGCTTACTTTTTTTTCTTTGTCTTTAAAAAAATTGCCGTTGTGATCATATCATATCTATGATAGAATATTCAGTGAGTTATATATGAAAATGTTCAGTTTCCCTTGCTATATTGAGTAGATCGCGAAAGACGTGTTTTTAGGGAGGACCTTTTAGCTCGTCCTTTATTGTATTTTGTTGTCGAGATTTATTTGATACTCACGGATATTGCAGTTCATCGAAGGTTTCAATCTGTTACTGCCCTACAAATTGAGGTCGGCAGTGGTTCCGGGTAAAGTTGAACTGCAGTAAATCTGAAAAAAGTTCGCGCAAAACTATATTTCAGTGCTTTTGATTTTCATCATAGAATCCAATGGTGCCACATTTCCCCCAAAAAAGAAAAGAAAAATAAGGAAAAAAAAAGAGAAAAAATATCGCGATCATACTGGGAATCGAACCCATGCCAGAAACATTCGAAAAAGATTGGGACGATTCCCCCGAGACATTCTGTGAAGCTGAGGCGTCGAATCGATTTACATTCCGGTTAGAGATTTCGGCTCTTCCATGCTATCCCGATAATTGGTCCTAACTTCGCGCTAACTAAAAGGCCAGTGAGGGAGAAGCTATCCGGCCCCTAGACACTGATGGATAACCCCTTGCACTAACTAGGCAACTATCGAAAATATAACATCAAATTGGGGTAGTCTATTCGGCGAAAGTTCCAAGTGGTCTATTATTATGCAAATGAGCGTGGTTCAGTGGCGCACCGCGTTAAGGCGCTGTTATCCAATCTAAGGTTTACGAGATCGAATTCATTTCACGTAATCCTTTTTTTCCTTTTTTTACAACTTTTTTCCTTATACCTTTCAGCAAACGTTCGTATCATCTTTTTACTATAATAAAGATATTTTGTTTTATTTATTTTGTTTATTTTTTATCGTTCTTCCATACACAGCTTGGAAAACAAACCAACATTGGTCTCCCTGTGCTAACATCCCCACATCGAGACTGGTATTGATGTTTACTTCCGTTCTACACCGGAAGTAGAATACTGCACGTAAACGAGGCAAGTTTGTAAGAAAATCATGGCCGACAATATGTTTCCTCGATAAGATTGTAACAGTTCTTAGACCAAAATTCCTTTGTTTTCGTCATGTCTTCAAGCGAAAAATACATCAGTAAGATCAAGAAGAAACTTTCGTCGAGTGATCTTGAAGAAAAAAAGGTAAAACAAATTAATTTAATTTCGTACCGAATTCACAGCGAATTTCTTTCATGGCTGTAATTGATGGTTGTATTTTTGATAGATTCTCAAATATTTACGACATCTAGAGGATGTAGAAGTTAATGTTGAGATTCTTAAGGTAATTGAAAACGATTTATCGTCATATCTGACCAATAAATAATGAGTTGTGTTTATTTTGAAGACTAAATATTATTTCAATATTTGCCTCCTCTTCGATCGGTTTTGAAACCACTGTTCGCTTCTTTATGTTTATCAGTTATCCACAGCTCAATTTCTTACATACATAGGGAAAGAGATTGGTATTACATGCAGAAGGAGCCTTTTTGATGTGATAATGTGATCAGCTGTCTCATTTCATGTTGGTCACTTTTAGTTTGGTTTGAACCAACGCTAATAGATCTGTCTTTTGATTTTTTATTTGAACAACTTAAGTGGCTTTTATTGACAATGTATGATCTAGTGACAATTTTCACTGATTGAATAAATCAGTGAATGAGTAAGCTTTGTTATCTAATAATATTACATGTACAAATATATTGTAAGCAAAAACCTCCAGTAAAATTACAGAACAACTAGACACAGAAAATTGAAACAAACGAAAATATGATCAAGGGAGGGGGGGGGGGGGGGGGGGGGGGAGGGAGGACTGGAGAATTAACATATTAACAGTATCAGTCTATATGGACCCAGATTAACACCTATACAAAAATAATTAAAATAATTAATATTGCTAAGATTATTTATAATTTAACTGCGATAATTTCACTCCCGTATATTCGCCATACATCCAATAGACCCTTGGAAATATATTCAGAAAAATTAATTTCCAAATTGCTGTTCCAAGAACCGTAACTTTCTATTGTTTCTATAATTTTCATATTATGCAAATACAGTGTAATGTATGATTTTAGTCCAGTGCCACACGTCATCAGATTTATAATGTTGACTGGGTATAAGAGTCAGATTCATGCCATCCGAAAAGTCAAGGTCAAAAGTTGAAATTTCCACAATAATGATCCTCGAGATGTGCTGACAATAATGTATTTGATTTTTTTGTCAGAATACTGGAATAGGGAAGCTTGTGAATGGATTAAAAAAATATGAAGGCATTGTGGGAGATGCTGCAAGCAGTCTTGTATTGAAATGGAAAACTACAGTTACTAAACAACAAGAAAGTCCAACACAAGAAAATACCTCATCTAGTAAATCATCAAAGAATTCACTATTGAACAGTGAAATTCATGAAAGTAAACGAACAGAAAGGAAAACAAGTGAAAAGTACAATCAAGACAGCTGCAATAAGAAGGAAGAGTCAAAGGCTAAGATCAAGGTTAACAAATATAATCTGTTACCTCATTTGTTTTTTAATAACATTCCATTCATTCATACTTTTCTTCATCTTTCATCCATTCTTTTTTCATCCATTTTTCTATTCATCCAATTCTCTATTTTTTTTTTATTGAATTATTATTTATCTTTTACTATCAAATAAAGATTCAAGCTTTTTTGTTGATTGTGTAGGGACCAAGCCTCCAGCTCTGTGATATTTCATTTGGTTGTGAAACTTTACCAAACAAGGAAACAAGCAGACCCAAAAAGAAACACAAATCAAGTACACCTGCATCCTCATCATCAACAACATCAAGAGAAAACCACAACAAATACAATAATGACTATTCTAGCTCTCTTCTTCCTCCTTTACCAACTGTTGCAAGTGTCAATGAAGCTCTTTTACCTGACATCCAACCAACATACAAACCAAGTAGGCTACCAGTATTTGATGATTCTCCCTCCAAGAAAAAAAGAGGTAAATGTCTATCTTTCAAGAATGCATAATATAATGTAATTGTGTTTAAAAGATAAATTCAACATCTGACCGTAAAGAAGTAGGTGAAATAACTTACTGGAGTTAATCTTTCATCGAAACACAACTGTTCCTTTGAACATTCCTAATGCACCAATGAAATGATGATGGCCCAATTATGGGACAGCAATTATCTTCCTATTTGAATCACTGGGTGCATAGCTTGGCTGTTATTGATTCTAGGGGAACTGTTTGACTAACTGACGACTAGGTGCATGACTGACTGACTATTTATTGGATTGACTAGCTGACTGATTGATTGATTGACAACTAAACAAGAGTCATCAGGGCAAACTTGCAAGTATAACAATGTTTCACGAGACTAACCATCACCTGACAAACACTACCACAGGTACTTATGAACAGTAGTGTTATGGCAAACTTGCAAGTATAACAATGTTTCACAAGACTAACCGTCACCTGACAAACACTACCACAGGTACTTATGAACAGTAGTGTTATGGCAAACTTGCAAGTATAACAATGTTTCACAAGACTAACCGTCACCTGACAAACACTACCACAGGTACTTATGAACAGTAGTGTTATGGCAAACTTGCAAGTATAACAATGTTTCAC